GCCAAACTCCAACTATTAGGTTTCTCTGATAATTCACTAAAATGGATGAGATATCTTCAGAGCCAAAAGCAGTGTGTGTGTCATGACAACCTGACGTCCGACTGGAGACTTGTTCCCTGCGGAGTTCCCCAGGGTTCAGAAATTCTTGGTTCTCTGCTTTTCACCATTTACATCAATGACATCAGTACAGTTCTACACCATGCAAAGTTTCATTTGTACGCTGACGACTTGCAAATCTATTCTCATTTTAAAGAAATTGAGCGATGCAAATGAAATCATAAACTTGATGAATCACAACATCAACAGCATTGTTCAATGGGCAGAAAAGAACGGACTTAGACTCAATCCTGACAAAACAAAGCCAATCATCATATGTCACTCGCGATTACTCAACAGAGTGGACCTAGACTATTTACCAAAAATCACTGTAAACGGAACCCCTTTGCAATACCAGGGCAAAGTAAAAAGTCTTGGTTTGACTTTAAACCGCACATTGGACTGGACTGAAGCGGTGGTCAGCACTTGTAAAAGAGTGTTTGCCGCTGTTCACACACTGAAGAAGACTTTCTACCTTTCCACATTAAACTCTTACTGGTCAAATCACTTGTGTTTCTACACTTTAACTACTGCAACACTGTGGTTAATAAGTTATATATAGGCCTATGATATGACTGTGGCTTTGGCAACAAAATTACAATGTGTACAAAATTATTGTGTTCGATTCTTGTTCAATCTTAGGCGTGATGACCACGTCACACCCTACTACATTAATTAATCAATTTTGAAATTTGAGGACATCAGAAAAATTTGAATACTTTCCATTAGGCTACTCATTCAATCTTGGAATTCCAAATTATCTTGCAAAGAATTTTAAATTTTTGAATGGAAGAGGCGCAAGGGATACCCGCTCTGGCTCGTCCACGCTTCGCATTCCTCATCACAGAACAACTGTTTATAATAAATCATTTTTAGTAACAGCATGCCGCCTATGGAACTCCATAGGCCTACCCTTATTGGAACTTTATTATATTTTTTGTTATTATTAGTTTTTTAGAGGTTATCTGTAAGAAAGGACCATGAGATCCTAAGTTCACCTCAATAAAGAAGCATTTTCATTTCATTTTACCTCTTCCCATCAAAACCATAGAAAACCGATCCCAACTGATGGTGGCGGTGAAAGAATATTACATTGGCCGAATGGCTGTGGCTTGGCGGGATGGCGTGCGTTAGGCCTCGATGCAGCAGAGGGTGTATGTGTGTGTTACTGTATGTTAGGGAAGATGAATAAATTTATGCTATTTTATTACCACTAAGTTAGTTATGTAACAAACTTATTGCATTTTTTGTTTTTATTTTGGTTGTTATTATTAGTTTTTTAGAGTTTAACTGTAAGAAAGGATCATGAGGTCCTAGGTTTGCCTCAACGAAGGATTTTCATTCATTTATTCATTCAATCAAAGTACCGGTAGCCTACTGGTATTGCACTGTTTGTACATATGCAATAGAGTTACAGTGATTTCTTTAGTTAAATGAAACATAGGAATTTAGGTCTACTACACTATAATAGTTAGAAAATATTAGATTTTACTATTCACTCCTTTAGTTCTTTCGCCGGTTTCCACTGTCCGGTAGAAATCAGTACAATTTGACATCATATGGTCTATCGAATCGATGTTTCTTTCACATTAGGCACTTGAATAAATTCTAACAGTACAGTGAAATGAATGAGTTAACAACGCCACAATAAACACAAACAGTGTCCAATTGACATGTCCTAAGATTAAAACATTTGCAACAGCTGATCTATAATTTTGCACTAGCTGGTTGGCTCCCGTTCGATTAAATATGTGCAGTATAAAATCTTGCGTTACATTAACATGTGCCACTGACTGTGGCGGTGCACGGCACAACAACCGTCTGGTTCAGTGGCAGTGGACAGCTGCAATACCTGCTTAGGTTTCTGCTGTTGCCGTTACCGTGTAGTGTGAAAGCTCACATGCTTTTCTTTCAATACACTACTAAAAATATTTACCAGTATGGCAAAAAACTAATAGGTAAGTGTGAAAGGAGCGTAAGTATCTGTCAGCTAGCAGTAAAAATCCAATTGATTTTCTTATTCAACTAGGTACCGGTAATGTAGCAATAACTTGTGTGAGATTTAACTTATCAGATGTTATCAACAACAAAACTTCAATTTTTCACACTAGGTTAATTGTGTGTGACTAAGCCTTAAATGTTTACTCAATGGAATAGCAACGAAATACAGCACATAACATGTGCTACAACATAGGAGGTAAGCCTAAAAAAATATCTTTGGGTAGGCCTATTTAAGTTAAGGCCTAATTCACTGGCTTTGTGAAAAAGATCTAGACTTTTGAATGTTGTTGAAAGCAAGTACCAGTATAGTCTCTAGAGGGTGGTCCCATCTTCTCTATTAAGAAATACTAGTTAATTAGGCCTAACTGTAGTATGAGATTTAAGACTCCATTTGGGGTTTTAGTTCTTCAAGTTCACACTTCTCAGACAAAGCTGACAAGAAGAAGGGGGCCATATATATATTACGTAACAGACTTTTTTGTCATTTTAAACCCCTCCCCTCACCATGTAAGTTAACGCACCATAACGCTTGAGCAAATCCCCTCTCCCAAACCCCTTGCGTTAAATGTTACTCGATCCTCGATCGTAGTTAGACTTTAATAACAGCTTAAGCATACCGTACCGTAATTTTACAAGTGGAATGTTATTAAGGTAGCACGACGGACGTGGACATTTAGGCTCTATTTTTATATATAACCCTATTTAACTAACTGATTTTGATATCAATTTCAATACCGTAGGCCTATTTATGTATATTTAAAAGTAGAATGTATGCGTTACGTATCGTTGAGCCCCCGAACCCACCCCCCTGCCTTTACGCAGCGTAACACTAAGTTATGCCATACCCCCTCCCGCCTCTAAGTGTGTTATGTGATAAGTTTATTTGTATGGCCCCAATGGACAAGCTGAAATAAACAAAAGACTGCTTCTTGGGTGAAATTTGGTGGTGCAGTGCATGCAAATTCTCTAAATTTGTGTTAGGGATTTGAACAGCTGCTGCTTTGCTATTATTATCGTGTTTCCTCAGTTCCCTTCGCTAAAGAAGGTCTATGTTTAACCCTCCGAGTGTCCCTTGTTTTGGCCTTAATGTCTGCCTATTTTTTGCTCATTTGCAAGGTTTTATTAAAACGGATCTGAGAAGCTTAAAAACAATGTTAATTATACTGTTCTATATACCATTTTGTTTGGAAAATCATGGGCTTCAATATTATACATAGAACATAACATTTGTTTCAAAAAAAATTTTTAGGTAAAGAAAAAAAATATTTTTGAAAATTTTCAAAAAAAAATAACTGAAGTTTGCGCTCAATGAAATTGTATAAATTATAGGCCTATAAATATTTGAAAATAGCCACTTTATTCTAAATTTTATGAGGATTACAAATATATAATAGGCTAATATAAGGAAGTAGATTTGATTTGCAAATAAATAAGTTATGGGCAAAAAACAGATTTCAGTACATAGCGTTTAGCTAAGAATGCATAGCCTAACCATAGCTAGGAATCTGGCTGATAATTTACATCAATATCACTACCTACTTCTTCAGGATCATCAACCAGCCCTTCAAAATCACTTAAATCTTCTTATAATGCACCACGTATATCACTACTTTTGATTTTTGACACTAAAACAATGATAAATGTAATAAAACACATCAGTCATCGGTCCCAGGTTAACCGAGCTGTTTACAAATACGCACGTCAGCTGTCTGCTACAATATTTTCGGAACTATAATGAATAGCGCTTAGAGACAGACCTCCGGAGAAAGCTCTGAATCTGTAAAATAAAACGATACCTAACTCGATCCAGTTCAATCCGATTTTGTCAGTCATGGAGCCTTCGCCGTAAACAGTGTTTGTGAGTCGCTGCAGCGACACAAAACACTACACAAAGTGTGTTATGTGTCGCTGCAGCGACAAATAACACTCGGAGGGTTAAGTAACATGGCGGACAGTAAACTACAAAAAAGGTTCAGTGAGGTTGGCTAAATTTATACTTAGCCTATTAAAACTTCATGCCATAGGCTAAACAAATAACAACCTTTATTTTCTTTACCTATTGCTTATGCTTTGTTCAGGGCTTTATTTGAGGAACCGTCCCTTCTTTCTATTTGCTAGGTAACATAAGTTAACATTAAAAATATATTAAGTTAAGTTAATACCAAATTCATGTTTTTATAAATTACAATAGGCAAACATTTTCCATGGAATTGCACATTCACACAACAAACATATATTCTTCAAGAGTTGTAAAATGGTTGTAAATTAACTTAGGTTTTATTGCAAAACTTCAGAAGGATATTTGGTAAGTTAATTATTTAGACTAACTTACCAACATAGGCTAACTCATGGACATCAATCAATAAGAGTAGGCCTAGCTAACTTACTGTACGTACATATTTTGTTAACAATACACTAACTATTTCTAAGTTAAATGGGCCTTGATCAAAACAAAACAACTGTCTTAAACATGGTAAGTAACTTAGATCTATCTTAGCTTGTAAATAGGGGTTCTGGGTTGTGGTTTAAAGAAAATATTTAAGAATAGGCTATAGGCTAAGACCTATAATTTATCATTTTAAGCCTAAATCAATCAAATCCAAACAGTCATCATTGTTACAAATCTGCAGGGTCGACAGAACAACTTTTGTTGTTGGTCTAGGTATTGATTGTGAGAAATAACTTATAGGTTAGTTTTTTTTTTATTCTGTAATTAGGAACATAACATTGAAAGAAAGTCTACAAAGTAATGAAGGAAAACGAATAACGAGTTAACTTAATTCAATATATTAATGTACACAATTTAATACGAGAAATTTAAAGCTGAATCTTAGTATTTTTTTCCTTCCAGACCTGAAATATTTAGATGAGGGATTCTAAATCCTGATAAGAATGTCACTCACCGAGCTTTGAGGAGAATTCCCGACGCTAGGCGATCTTTGAACCGTCACCAAGGCCATGTTTAAATATTTGATTAAGTCATGGCAGCTTTAGGAATGATTTAACAATTACAAAATGTCAAATTAACTGCGATATTGCACTGAACATTGTAAAGTCTACACAACCAGCGTACGACACCACTACATTAACATTTTTCCATTTTTGGAGAACTCAAACCTCAAACCAAACTACCTGAACCTGCCATCAGTTTCAGACCATCGACTCAATGCCTTCTAAATTAAATAATTAATTATCTTACCTTGTTCAAGCCATACTATACTAGGTGTGCGGTCTCAGGTCAGCCAATTGAGCGGAATGAACAAAATAGTTAACAGATAATCTTTTGTTCTAAATAAAATTTGAATTAAAAAATAAAATAGATTATAACATAATAACGTAAGACAACTGATTAATACAATACTTCATCATACGAGTAGAGTACCTTACGTCCATTTACTATTTTTTATGCTTGAAATTCTCCCTATAAAATATGGCTCAATTTCAGTTAGCCATTTTTTTTAGAGGTTGATGGTGGTCTTGCGTTTGCCCAAGGCCACACTAAAAAACGTTTTTTTTAGTGTGGCCTTGGTTTGCCCGATCTTAAATGGTAATCTGTTGTCTAGAATTGTAATGGTTGGCTCAACTGACTATTAGATTTATATTATCATGTGTTAATTGTTATTGTTTACTTCTAGTTGATTTGTACTAACTAAATACTTTTACCTAAATTTTACCTAGGATTTTTACCCCCGGAATTTTACCCCCGGAATTTTACCCCCGGAATTTTACCCCCTGGCCGATTTTAGAAATTAAATTATTGATTTTTCTTATTTCTGTTATTAATTAATTGTAAACATTTCATTATTTAGTAGCCTATATCTTTATTTATATATTTTTTCAACTAAGTAAACAGACGAATTCGCTGTTTAATTTTGATGTTCGGAATTTGCGTTTGGGGCCAACTGTTGGTTAATAAGTATGTAAAATAAACTGAGTAGCTCATTTAAATGATAATTGGGTGAACATTTCTTCGTAAAGAAACAATAAGGCATATTTTGTTATTGTTACAAATACAAACGAAAAACATTGTTTTACAACGGTTGTATAATAAATCGTCAAAGAAATCTTCGAATCAATTTACCATTCTGATGTTCGTTTATACGTCATATTAATCAACAGTGTGGCTTCAAACGTCGAATCCTGATGATACTCTAATATCAAAATTAAAATCAAAAACCTGTTTGATTAGTTGATGTTAGAAATAAATTAAGATAGGCTACTTAATAATAAAATGTTTACTATTAAAAACAGAATGAAGATAATTAATCATTCTCACTAATTTATATATCTGGCCAGGGGGTAAAATTCCGGGGGTAAAAATCCGGGGGTAAATCCGGGGGGTAAAACTCCGGGGGTAAAAATCCGGGCCGTTTACACTCTGGGTTTTTATAATTTGATGTGTTCTGATTAAATTCACAACAGTGAAAATATATGTTTAATTCCGCGTTTAATCCATCGAGCTGATGTCGCGAAACTCAAAAGTTTGCGGCCGGAATTTTACCCCCTGGTTTGTGACGTCACGTTTGCCCAGGGGGTAAAATTCCAGCGGGATAAAAATCCACTACCCCCCCTCTGCGCCCGGAATTTAACCCACCCTTACGCAGAGAGAGTTATTGGTTGTTGTTTGGTTTTCTTTTTAATAGACACTAGCTGTTGTACCCGTGCTTTGCAACGGGAAGAGGACATAAAATATAAACGTTTTTAATCTTTATCTCTTGCATAATAGTTACACATCCGCCAACGGCGCCAACGCTTTTAGAAACAAAATTCAACTTTTATGGCCTTAATAGAAACGTTTAAGTTATGACTTTTAAATCTGGTAAGTAGGTGGTGGATACCATCATTTTGGTTTTGATTAATTTTAAATCTTGTGTAGGCTGATATGAGAAAAACTGACCAAATCTTTGAGTAAAACTTTGACATACATGATTTAATTACCAGATTTACCTTCATCTCCCTTAATTACACATCTTTTAATATATTATTGACATTTTAAATTTCAATTTTGAAGTTGCAAAAATACTAATTATTAAATTTAAATATCTTTATATTAAACTCTTCTTTATATTAAATCACAAATCCTTTCATCTTCAGTTTTTTTCACTCACAATAAATCATTAGCTAAACTAAGTCAGCTGTTATAAACTTTAGAAATATTGCTGTGCCTTATCAATACAGTCTTTTGAAATATTAAAGAAACATAGAAAAAATATATCTATAGGTACTATAAAAAATTTCAAACAAATAATTTAGCATTAAAGACAGCAGACAAAACTAATATGATTATCAAAGCATCAAGGACAAAAAAATATAATAGGAAAATACAGTATATGTTTAATTGCATCTCTGATTCTACTATACAAAAATATCAACAAACAACAAACCAGTTCTTTTAATCAGTTCCATCGTCCCTTGCCTTTACATTTTCACACTTACCATTAAGAAAACATAGTAACAGATATTTCATTGATTTTAGAAACAAAAGAGCACTGTGTACTGCTTAGTTTTATGATATTGTCCTTGGTTTAATTTAATCAGTGGTGTGGCAAAACAAAACACAAATAATAAATGTATCAAATAAAGTAAATGTGAACTGAAAGCTATGTTAAGATAAAATAAGAGTATTTTGTATTACCATTTGATAATTAAATATAGTTACACATATTCAACATATTTTAGAAAACAAAAATCAACGACAATAGTTATTGATGATATTCTTTAGTTTAATTTAAGCATAGGTTTAGCAAAACACAATAACTTAATTTACCTAAATATACATATAAAACACAATGTGATGTGCAAGTTATGTTAAGTTAATCTAACATGTGAAGCAGTTAGAATTTATTTAAAGTAGCCTCCAAATTCATACAAAACATCTATACATTGTAATTTTCATACTGTTTCCATGAAAACATATCAATAACATTATTTTCACTTAAGATTATTAACTTAAGACGCTTTAAAATATCCAAAGCAGAGCCGGAGTTGATACAGCAACGGTTATAAAATCTTTTTTTTATATAATCATTGACATAGTTTTAGAATAAATAATCCATCATAAAAGGTTAGATTAAAATAAACCTACTTCATATTTATGGAAAATATTATATTTAATTTCTTTGTATCAGCTGTCTGAAATTGTGAAATATACAGTTTAGCAGTTCTTCTTGTTTATATTTAAATGTCAAAGCAAATGTAAACAAACACTGTTAGTTTTCTCATCACAGCCATGGAGACCAATCAATATTTACTTTTAAAATGTTCACCTCAGAACTTTTAAAGCCAAAGGGGCAAAGCCTACGGTAAGTATCGAAATGTGAATAGTCCTATAATGGTCCTTGGTATGGTAGCTATATTTTTGTAAAATTTAAGCCCAGTTGGTTCAGTAGTTTTTTCACCTATTAGTAATACACATACAGACAGACACCATTAGATTTTTATATAATAGTATAGAAGTATAGATGATGGCGTACAGGGGCGGACTGGGTACTCTATTAGGGCGTAAACCTTGACCAGCCCGAAGGCGCCAACCGGGGGGTCTGGGGGGTATGGAATACCCCCCTGTATCGAGGGGGGTCCGGGGGTCCTCCCCCGGGAAATTTTTTAAAAATTATACCAGTAAACTCGCATTTTTAGGCAATCTAGAGGCATTAACAGTGGAAAATCAGAAATCTGATAACTGACACTATTGGTCAATGTTTCGTTTACAAAATTTAGACTATTTACCCACACGACTTGGTGCTATTCTGACAGTAAATATCCTAACAAAAATAAAAATACAAATGATTTTCTTATAGGTTCTTTCGTATTATATTTGTGCATTTTCACTATTTTCCCTTGCATGACTTGGCTGCATGCATACAATATAAATCATGTGCTTCCTGTTTACAACCTGAACTTGCAACTGTTGTATTTTTTGGCACTGTAAATAACAGAAGTTATATATTTTAGATTTCTATGAAATTATTTTACACAAACAATATGCCTTCACTGTGAACAAAACCAATTTATTGACTGAAACTGTTTTAGCATTAAATTAAGTCAAAACTGTGACCCTAAAGTAGGCCTACCTAACCTATTTCTACAAACGAAATGGAAGCCATAGCCTAGAGATAACTACGAAGGTATTTTGGGCTGGCTATCTGTAAGTAAAATAGGAAAGTTGACCAAATTAGTGCCATAGTGCATATTGAAATCATTAATTAATAGGCGGTAGCCACATATTAAAATACTGTTTACTGTTTAATCTTTACTGTGTAATGGTTAAGTTAACAAAAACACTGTCACTAAATCTAATTTAAATTTTGTAAATGTAGTGATTCTACAATACTAGTTTAGTTCATGTTACCTGTGAATAGGTAAAGAATATAAAAATAAATTGAAGATTTCGACACAAATCAAATCAAATCATTTATTATCATGGACATTTACATGCATTGACATTGTCAGTGGAGCAGACCATAAAATTTCAATGTTCATTGTCTAAATAATCAGAGGTAACACAGAGTATACACAGGGTATACACAGAGACACAAATCAGACACTCACTAAAGAGAGACACATTTTAATTGGCAGCTCACACTCTTTATTATTTATATATTACATGCACGGCAAACGCCATTTTACAAGAGAGTTGAGTTGACATTTATAAAAATTAAATGTGACTTAAAGAGAAATAGTTATAATGTGAGCAATAATTTAATATTATAACAAATATGAAATAATATTACATTATCTTCACTATAGTTGTTTACCACAGACGACATCGTGACGCCGACCGATGTCGGATGCAGTCGCAGTCACGAATACCGGTACCTACTAGAAAAATACCGGTATGGATCACAAACATTATCAAATGACATTGTTGGCCCGAATCCTATACTAATAGCATTGAACATATGATTTGGCAGTTCCACTTTAAGCAATGTTAAATAATGTTTAAATGTTTATTTTCTGGCCAAAAAGTCTTTTGGTTATGTTTATGAACCATACCGGTATTTTTCTAGTACTCGTGGTCGCAGTGCAGTTTTTTCGGGTTCGGCGTAAAATGACGCGGGAAGAGGACAGCTGTTTTTAAGTATCTCATACCACTGAGTAAAGTGCCTTAGTATGCCTACAC